TGCCACTTAAGATGTCAATATTAAAAGCTTTCAAGTTAATGGATAATGAACTGAATTTGCATCCTTCAATTGATTGTTTTTGTAGTGGTACAACGGCAGTTACTTTGATAATGCAGGTATACTTTGTGTTATTTCCTTGTATGGTTTCTTGTTTGTTATAAAACATCCTACAATGTAACATGTGGCGAAATGCATCTTTATCCTTTTTAACAAAATCAGTAACCAGATTTGTATAGTTCTGCATTGCATAATAGATCTAATGAAATTATTGTGCATAAAGGCATTCTTGCTAGGATTTATTCAAAGGGTGCTAAGGCAGTGTGCATGTACCTAGAGCTCTGATTTTTCCTTATGAGGCTCGTAATATAGCAAGCTCGGTGAACAGTGTCAAAAGCATCGAACCTCTGTTTTGAGGAAAGTCAAATCTTTTTGCTTTTTCAGAGTCAATTCACAGATTGTATCATTATCCTTGTTGTGGTCTGTGCATCATATGCTTCTATGACTTGAAAAACCTCGTAGTATAATGAGCTCGATGAACATTGTCAAAAGCATCAAATATATGTTTTTAGAGCAGTCAATCTTTTCGGCTTTTTAAGAGTCGGTTCGCAGATTTACACCATCCTTGGTGTAACCTGAGCATCATATGCTTCTATGACTTGAAACCCTGGAGTCGACAATTGCATACTTATCTCCTATGTGATAGGAGTTTAACCTCTGACTTATGGGGCATACCAAACTACCTGCAATTGTGAGATCTACTTTTATATTATCTTTTTACTTATAAGTCAGTCCAAGCCTGGGTAAAGGAGAAGGGTTGCAGTCAAGAAGATAGAAAAAGTAATAATAAGACTAGCAATCAATCTCCTACTGATTTCTGAAATATTTTGCGATCAATCTCCTACTCTCTAGCTCTAGTGTTAACATCTATTATGATTTCTAAAATATTTTGTGATCAATGAGAATTGTCCACGACACAATTATACTATTGATGCTATACGTTTACTAGTTGGTTTTTTATGCTTTAGAGGATTTAAACAATCTTAAATGGTCTTACTAATTTAGGAATATGATTTTCCAGGGTCAGGATCTCATAATTGGAAACATTGGTGACTCAAGAGCAGTACTAGCAACAAGAGATAAGGACAATTCTTTGATGGCTGTACAGTTAACTGTAGATTTGAAACCCAATCTTCCAAGTATCTTTCTCTAACTTTTCTTCTCTTACTTTGATGCGTACAGAGCCACTTCAAATAAAAACGACTGAAGCTTAGAGAACTTGATTTTTAAGATAAATCACATCCTAGCTTCCTGGCCCGAAAGATAATAAGTAAAATGAAGGGGAGTTCAACTTCAGTAGCCACAGCAAAAAAAATTTACTTCTCTTTTCCTTTTGCAGAAGAGGCTGCTAGGATCCAGAAATGTAAAGGAAGGGTTTTCGCATTGCAAGATGAGCCTGAAGTTGCACGTGTGTGGTTGCCCAATAGTAACTCACCTGGTCTGGCGATGGCCCGAGCATTTGGTGACTTTTGTTTGAAAGATTTTGGTTTAATTTCTATCCCAGATGTTTATTACCACAACATCACTTTGGAAGACGAGTTTGTTGTTCTCGCCACTGATGGGGTATAGTTCTCATGTCTTTGTTAATAATTAGGTTGCAATGGATAAATTTTGCCTGTAGTTTAATCCAAAACATGCTTCTTTTTATGGTTCTGTGTTTGGTGTATTGGTGTTGGACAAGTTTGAAGGATTGCCTTTATTTAAGTATGTGATGTCGTCTGCCATATTTTGCCTTTCGGTCTCGAGATTTTATAATGATGCATATGTTATCGCATATGGGTTGGGGAACATCTGAACAGGGAAATTAACCAAATAAGTTTTTCCTCAGAAGTCCTCTCTTCTATTAATGTTGAATTCACCTTTGTCTCTTAATTCACTTTTGCTTTTTAGGGCATAATGGCTTTATTCAAGATATAGTTCTACTTAAACTGGCAATTTAACTGTTATTTTGACACAGGTATGGGATGTCCTCTCCAATAAGGAAGCCGTGGACATTGTGGCCTCGGCTCCTGGTCGTGCAACGGCTGCCAGAGCTCTTGTAGACTGTGCAACTAGAGCATGGAGACTCAAGTACCCGACATCAAAGAATGATGACTGCGCCGTTGTATGTCTCTTCCTGCAACAAGTATCTGTTGCTAATGTGGCTAAAGCACAAAACAATAGCGCAACAGCATCAGAAGTGGAAAGGAAGGTCTCTAGAGAAGGAGGCTCAAATATTGACGTTGTAGCTTCTTGTGCTGATCTTCTTGTACATTCAGATAACGCGAAAGAGTCCGGGGCTATTGTGACTAAAGCACAAAATAATGTCACTAGGGACTTGGAAGTAGAAATGAAAAATGTCCCTAATGGAGGGAATTTTGAGGGCTCAAATATTGACGTTGTGGCTTCTTTTGCTGATCTTGTACATTCAGATAACGCCAAAGAGTCCGGGGCTATAGTGGCTAAAGCACAAAATAATGTCGCTAGGGACGCGGAAGTAGAAACGAAGAATGTCCCTAATGGAGGGAATACTGAGGGCTCAAATATTGATGTTGAATCTTCTCGCGCAGATCTTCTTTTACATTCAGATAACATTCTAGAGACTGGAGCTAATATGGCTAAAGCACAAAATAATATCAGTACAGACTC